AAATCAAATTCATTCCTGGGTTTCAGTCATTTATTGTCTCTATTTATCAATCAAAATACGTTTCGGTGTATTTTTCCACCATCATCAGTTTTTATAAAATAACATATAGTTAAAAAAAAATTGTCATTAATTAATCGAACTGTGGTTGTTTTTTAAATTAATGACAAATTTTTTTAAACTATCTGTTATTTTAGAAAAACTGATGATGGTGGAAAAATACACCGAAACGTATTTTGATTGATAAATAGAGACAATAAATGACTGAAACCCAGGAATGAATTTGATTTGGAATTATTGACAAGGGCTATCCACCTGCAACTAACACAAAAAACATTATTGCCTCTGTGCCTTTTTATCAAAAAATTGTAGAAGAGAACTTTTTTGATATCAAACATTTTCGTAATCTGAAGCAAACATCGTAATTTTTTTGTTTGAATGCTTAAGTATTCCAATATACTTCCAATTAAACATGGAACACTTTCAAAATAGTGCTTAATAACAAAGTCAAAATTCGATTTTTAACTTTAAATATCTTCTAGAAATTTTGGAAAAAAAATTTCTATATTTTTCTCGTGCTCCCCAAGAGAGCCTCTATCACCCCTTAAAAGGAATGACGCCAATTTTGAATCACCCTGTACATATTTTATTACAGTTTGTAAATGTTTTCTAGCCTGATTTTATCGGCCACCCGCATTTTTTTCTCCTTGAATGTGCTTTATTTAAGTGTACTTTAAGGGAAAATTAAAAAGAACGCCTAAATCCGCCAGATATAAGTGATGCACCTTCACCTGCAATAATATTATATTATTGATTGTTTCCTAAAATTTACGAACAATAAATCAGGTTCTGAATCAATAGTAATTGTGCCTCACAGCCATAGAGGCCATTAAAATTATATTACTAATCTCACTACTTCGATCTTGTTTTAATTAGTCTTAATTTAGCAATAAAAAATGACCAAAAAAGCTCAAAAAATACATAAAAGCTAAATTTTATTTATTTATTATGTTAAAAATAAACGGCGTCTTGTCAAAACTACAGTTTAAAGGTCGTAAGCAAACCAGGTAGCATATAATTAATTTTCAAAAAAGAACACACGATGATTGTATTAATTTTTGAACTAAATTTTTATATATACTTAGGCTGTGATATTTGGAAGGGAAGACTGAAATCCTCATAGAAAAATTACAGGCAATTTAACAGAACCAACGTAAATATGACTTCAATTGTGTTGCTCAAACAGCTGAAACTATTGCAAGAACAGGAGCTCTATTCGAGCATAATTAAAATTGTAAGTAATTTTCTAGTGTGGATCTTTCAAAACGCATTTAGAGGCCAATGTTTGAACCATTTGAATAACATACATACATGTATTACTTATGATTTTTTAATGAAAAATTTACTAATTATTTAAGTAGACATTATGATAGCAAAATAAGGAATTTCATTTCATATGGTTATTATAAATGCCATTTCTTTCTCCACATTCTGGGTAATATATAATATTTAAAAAATAATATTAAATAAATTATTTATAAAATAAATTTTTATATGTATACAGGCTCGTTCAAAACTACAGGGACAATCGCAGGAAAAAAAATTGTGGTTTTAAATCCGGCAAGCGTGATATAACAGAATGGGTCGTTAACGTCCAATTCATCTTAAAAACGTTATTCAGGTGTTTTTTTACAATCAATGTCCATGGGCAGGGCAGCAGTCATGTTGGAACCACAGTTTCATTGATATAAACTACATCCAAACCCTCTCTATTTATCCCTTTTTTGCACTGACTAAAAATATACAAACAACGCACCTTCAAAAGAATAAACAGGATGTCGTTTTATGGACATCGCTAAAGCTTTGGACGGTGTCTGGCACAAAGGACTAAAGGACTGTTATACAAACTACACTATACTTAGCACCATAAAATAAATATCCTTCATAATTCGAAAGCTACTGGAAAGTACCCCACAACTACAAGAATGCATAGAGAACCCACTCTCATTTTTAAGCAAAGGTAAAAAGGTAAGCAAGGCCAGCAGCAATGGTCTCCCCTGTCACCTCACATCGAAATCCACGAATCACATTGACATATCAACCTACATACTCACAGAACACATTTGAACTACTATAATACGCTGACGACCCGGCACTGATTGTGCACGACAAAACGACAGTGAAGTTTGCAGCGAAACTTCAAGCACTAACAGACGAAACAGTGACATACTTCCATCAATGGACACTAACGGCAAACACAACGACAAACCAGCTACTCTTACCAAATCACCAAATTAAAGACAATTATCCTGCAATAAACAGAACTGGAAGTAGAACTACTCCAAAACAGAAGGCCTAGTGGTAATACTGGTCCAAAAAAGTGTAATTGCGAGTTATCGAAATCCATCCCAATACAGTATAATCTCACTAAAGGCCCATTTATAAACTTGACGTTGCCGTTACCGTTGCCGTTACCGTTGCGGTTGCGCTACAAGAGGCGATTTATGTACTTACCGTTACGTTTGCTGTCAGTCGAATTTTTAACCTAAGATCTTTCTTGTTACCTGTCTTTGTTGTTATTGTATATTTTGAATCAGCTGATTTGGTCCGACCAAATACTGCATTTGGATTGGTTGGTACTTCAGTACTACGGCTGTTCTACGAACGTTCATCGGCCAGAAATTAAATTGGTTCATATCGAGCGGCACGGTGTTTATAAATGGATGTTAGGTATTCCAATACTTTAATTCTAGTATATTTTTTAATATTTTAGTTTATAAATGGGCCTTGAAAGCCCCGTTATAAACCTAATTTCTAAAAAGATGAGCTCATTTAGTTTGGTATGTCATACTTTAATTTGGACGCAAACGGTAACGGCGAACGCAAACGCAAACGTCAAGTTTATAAATGGGCCTTAAAGCTATGTGTGATGGATGCTTGCGTCTGGCGCATGTCTAGCGGCTGCAGCGTCCATCGCATACGTCGGAGGTGGTTTTGTCGCACATTTAGTGAACTCGCAGATCAAGTCGCCTGCGAGGTAAACTCTGCAAATTGGCGTTTCTAGTATTAAACGAATGCACCTGGGAGTGCATTGTGTAAACTGTAAAGAACTATACAGCTGAACATATATGCAGATGGAAATAGTCAGATTCTTAAATGATTGAAGTGAAGTTTTGATAAAGTGTTACTCCATACTGCATTTTAGAATGGAACAGCGCGAAATACACACTTCTAAGGACATTCAGTTCTAATGTGTCCCTCAGATGTCACAACATTAATATGACGGCCATATGTTACAGTTACAATAAAACCTGTCGAACAAGAACACAAATATGTACATACATACATACATACATACATACATTATATGTATGTATTATCTTTATAAAATACTTTATTATGATTTTTTCTCTACAATCCAGTAAGTAATCCGAACATTCCAATAATCCGACAACCTCTGGTTTTTAATAGTGAGATTGTACTGTATTGTCAATGTATCTACAGCGCTTGTGTGTGTGTATGTCTTACAGGGTGATTCAAAATTGGCGTCATTCCTTTTAAAGGGTCAAAGGGGGCTCCTATTAGGGGCTTACTTGGAGAGTACGAGAAAAAGATAGATACATAGAAGATATTAAAAGTAGAAAATGTAATTTCAATTTTGCATTAAGCATTATTTTGAAGTTGCCATGTTTAATTGGTAGCGTATTGGAATACTGAAGCTTTCGAAAAAAAATGACGATCTTTGCTTCAAACCGCGAAAAAATTTTTCATTAAAGAAGTTGAAATTTTTGAGAAAAGTCAAAGCGACATTGATGTTTTTTGTCATCAACAGATAGTTAGAGGAAGATAGCCCTTGTCAATAACAATAATTTGTCAAACTGTGACTTGCTTTGATGCTCCTTTTACGAATTTGCGGATATGTGATTAGTTCTGGGGAAATGCCACAGTAACATAGCAGAAGCTGTAATAGCTCACGCCAACAAAGGGCTAGAGACAGTGGAGATAGTGAACTCCAGTGAGATAGAAGACAGCATTATACATACTTTCCTGACTGTGTTTCAATTCCAAATCAAAATCAATTTCTGGGCTTCAGTCATCAAGACAACTCCAGGAAGATAGTGAACGACAATAGATGTTCTGGTTCCAGACACAGAGAAACAAGAATTGGAGATAATTGCAGCAGAGCCTTCCAAGAGTAGTCAGAGAAATAAATACCGAGAAAGGGCTACATTCACCACGTATGTAAGATGCGCACATCACAAGGACGCATTAAAACAATGGCATACTGAACACCGGTACAAATTGATCAGGAGTTAATTAACCGAATACGAGAAGCTGCTTGAGAAGAGTGGATAATAAGGTATACAGAGACTAACTTGTTTGGAGTTAAAAACGCAAATGTATTTTTATTTGTAAACTGTAAACATATCAATTTGAGGTTATGAGGATAATAATTGATATTTCGAAAAAGTACGTTATGACGTTCAACAAATTTTGTTGAATTTACCGTTTTTCCTTGCCTATTTTATTGTCACTTCTCTTATTTATTTTATTGTCACTTCTCAAAAACATTGTTGCCGTCTTTCTGATATAGTTTTTTGAAAATTTCTCAGTTTTTAATAAGAATTAATTTTTTAAACTAACTTTTTGTACTCCTTAAACACCGCCAGACAACACCACCAGAGGAATGACGCCAATTTTGCATCACCCTGTATAAGGTTTTTTTATTTTGTATTGAAACCATTTTAATTAATTTTGAAGTGCTAGCAATCAAAGGCAAACATTGTGTAATTTTTTCGAATAGCTTCATTCAATTCGTTTTTAATATTTTCAGTGCGTATTATCATTAACAGAGATTGAACAAAAACCCGAGTACTCCACTTTGCTGCGAAAATTTCACATTTCCCTATATTATGCCGATGCGTTGTATCAAACAAGAAACTTTACACAAGCAGAAAATCATTACCGTCAAGCGCTCCAAATGAGAAAAACCATTGTAAGCAAGACGAAAAACGTACACAAAAAAGTTATAGAAAACCAAGACGAAATAGCCAGCGATGTGGACATTAAGTACAAAATATATCGTTGCTGTCTGGCGTTAAATCAGAAAAATGCTGCAGCGGACATCTTGCAAACGATAGCAGCTAGACAACGAACACCTAAGATTTATATGGCACTGGGGAATATTTACAAGGATGTCGGTATGGATAGGTTAGCCATAACGTGCTTCAAGGAGGTGCTTAGAGAGTGCCCTTTAGCCATTGAAGCTATGGAAATTTTACTTAAACTGGGTGTTAATGTAGGTTGATTTCAAATTACGTAACAGTTCATTTTAAATGCAGAATTATTTTCCAGGGTGTTGAAGTAAACTCTTTGGTAATGGAAGTGTCATTAGAAATAACTTGGTTAGGTACTTGGATCAAAGCGCAAGCCCAGTTTCTTGCAAAAGATTATGCGAGTGCTATACTAACATACAAAAGCCTGGACACCCATGGGATGCTTAAAGACAACACTGTTTTAACTGTTAACATGGCATATTGTTATTATTACATGTGCGAAGATAGCAAAGCGATATCTCTTTTGCAAAAAGTAAAACAAATGATAACCAATTTTAAAATATTTACCTTGATTGATTTTAGGCCGTTCGAATTGATCCAAATCTCAACTGGGGTCTAGCATTGTTGTCCACGCTCTTAGCAGCCTCAGGCAACAAAGAGTATCAGTATGAACTAGAAAAATTAACACCGAATTTAGAAACCTCCTTGTGGACCGACGAACACTGGGTGGTTTTAGGTAGAAAAAAATATTGTAGCAGCAAATCACTCAGTAGCTATCAACAAATGTTTTAGGAAATCTCATGTTGCTCCTCAAGAAATACGAAAGAGCCGCATATTTCGGCCAGCAAGCCTGCATGATGGGCAAGAACGTGGAAGCCCTACTTTTACGAGCAAACGCGTTGTTTTTTTTAAAGAAGTATCAAGAAGCAGCTGTACAATGTACAAACGCTTTACAGATTGCTCCATTTAGGTAATATGTTTTATCTTGCTTTTACTTACTTGCTCGATAACCGACAAGGAACATTATAATTTGCTATAATGTACTATAAGTGGTATTCGCTTAAGAAGGTGTTCCTGTTAGAAAGTGACAGTGACAGTGCTCTCAATACATTCAACATGAACAAGGAAAAATGGCCTCAACTTGAGCAGATAATCAGCCCTGTCCTGTATCACTCACGTTAACGTTAACGTGCATGTTATACGTCAAACACGTTATGTGGCTCAAACTGGTGTGTTGTATCAGTCAAAGCGTTATATTATAACAGGCGACATGCTATCGAAGAACGTTATATTTAGAAACATTTTATTAAAACAGAAAGAGGCGGATGTGTACACACTGAAGAAAATCCAATCAAAGGGGATGCAAACTTGTATTATAATGTGTATAATCGGTATAATCGGGGTTGAAGTTTAGAAGAATTAACCCAAACTAAACTTGAACCCCGATTACACACACTATAATTCAAGTTTGCATCCTCTTTGATTGGATTTATTAGAACAATTGGCAATTGGTCTTGAAAATAAACTTTATTTTGCTCCGAAAACTCTACAAAATTCTCGAATTGTTTGTGCGTTGTTTTTTTGCCTCTTCTGTGGATGCTCCATTGAAAGCGTTTAAGACATAGGTCAAAAACATTAACGAACGAAATTGAAAGTGAATGCAAATTATAGACAAAGACAAGTATGGTAGTAGGTGGGCCGCCAAAAAAAAAGTGCATATGTGGTTTATACGTTTTCAAAGCTTCGATGGTTCGGTGTTAACTCTCTCTAACTAATAGACTATTCGTATAAGGGCATCTCACTTTAAGCATCCAATTTTTTTTCCAATTGTTTGTTAGATAACTGCTTCAGGATCACACGTTAAGTCGGAGTTCTCTTAGAGCACACCTCGGTTGAGTTGCTGCGTTATCGAAAATGTTATCCTGAACTGTTAAGTTGCCATAACGTGAGGCAGTTAAAAATAGCATTTCTGATACAGCACAGGGCTGAATAACTACAGGGTGAGTTTTTTTCGATGACCAGTACAGATCTTGAATACTGCAGAAGATACAACAAATGTTAAATGAACAGATAATTGCAGTTCTGAAAGGTGAAAATTGTCGACGGTGCATACTAGAGATGAGCTAAAGCGTGATTTAAAAATCACTGTTATAACTGTGAATGTGATTGCTTTTTAACTATGAAACTATGAATTTAACCTGTAAATGTGATTTTTTTCGTGATTCTGCTGCGTCACTTGCAGAAACAATTTTAAAACATTTGTAATTCATATTATTTAATTTATTTATTTTCATATTATTTAAATCAATCTAAACAATCGATTATGGCGTAAACTTTTCTATAATGTGAAAATAACTTTATTAGGTGGCATTCAAACTATTAAAGTCTTTAACATCTCGCTAATTAATGGAGGGGATTTTGCAAAAATTTTACTCGTACTTGCGGAAAGGCCAAAATCATCATCTAGTTCAGTAAAAGTTTTGTCAAGGCGAATTTTTTGCAGAACCCAATTTTGTAGTATCTCTTATTCTTCTTCTTCTCTCAAAACCACGGCTCGTACAGGAGCGTCACTACTTTATTTTCTGTCTTTTTGGCACGCAAATTTATGTGGAACAACATCTTTTTTCATTCATTTCTGAACTCTTATCATTTTCCACTCCATAAAATTTTCCATGTCTTTTTCAAGCTGTGAAATAAAATAAACATAAATTGCACATAATGAAACAAAGGTGAAACCTAATTCTAACGAACACATAGGGTTAAGAACCCTATAAATATTATTACTTTTATGAGAACTTACATCGAAATGATCATCACAGGCTTCAATGTTATTTTTTGCAGAAAGATCGGTGCAGTTTCGCCGCGCTGCTTTCAACCACAATTTCCGTTTTTTTTTCGTTCAATGGCACTTTTACAAATGTTTTTCCTGGTGTAGACGTAGTGGTACTTGTACACACAGTACTTATAAGCCGTTTTACTTACAATACTTGAGAAACAAGGAAACCAACACACAATATTCACATTAGAGAATGGAAACACGTATAAGCGCTGAATGTGGCGGAGCACAATCATGCTTCGTGACGTCACATTACGATCAGCCAAACCTCGTCGTTTCAGCGAGCTGTGTGTTTTTAAAGCTTTGATTGCTGATAGATTTGTTACGATCAGACAGAATGTGAAAAAAATGGTAGGGCTCCTATTTGTACGCCAATAATCAATTTTATGAAAGAAAAAAAATGTGCAACCCCATTTCAATTCGAAAAGATGGACAAAACAGAATCACTAAGCGTATTCCCAAAAAAATATTTTAAAAATACACAGCAAGTTACACGATACACAATCAGATTACGGCTAATTAATAAATAGTGCATACTGAAATACGATTTCCAAAAATATAAATAAAATGCAGGCTCAAATGAACCCCTAAATGCAAGCTTTCATTAACGAACAAAATAATTTTATTTTTGTTCGTTCTTTCGCCGGGCCACATGTGCAACATATGATCACTACACGCAACTCGCAATAGCAGCTTTAGCATGAAAATATAAGTCACTCTTAAATATCACGATTGACTCAATCACGTTTTAAAAAGAACCATGAACCAGAAACTATGTCATCACAACCGGTGCATAAATACGGACTGCGCCCGAGGAATCGCATGAGATCAGTGTAAGCGTTCAATCCAACCACCTCTGAAGATGCAAGCCACAGAGAATTAATAAAACTGCAGTTGCTTGTCGGAAAACTAAACTCAGTTCAAGCCAAACTCTCTAATCTATGAGATCATTCTTACCAGTTTTTTGCAAGCTGGCGCCCTATCCTCCATTTTCTTCCCATTTATCCTCAAAAAGGTCACTAAGCTTTCACAAACCAACGCACTTGCCATAAATAAGAGCCACGATAATTCTATATTTTCATTCTAAGAACACAATTCACACTACAATGTCAGTAGCAAACTGGATATTCATACACCTCTTCGGAAATAAAAGCACCGAAGTAAATATTTATATATATAAAATAAACGTGATTATTTAATCATTTCCGTGTTTGCCCTTTCGATGATCCATGGCTTTCCTCTCGCTTGGCAGTTCCATTTCACTGCTTATTGTTGACATTTTTGGGTCAAACCAACTAAGCTGAAAACGCTCCAAACCCCGATCTTCCAATAATTTAATTTTAAATTTAGAGCCATTTATATTCGTCTCAGCTGCGTTGATTAATGCTCAACCCCAAAACCAAAATTCGTAACCCATCTAATTTTGTTTTTCTTAAAAATATATACTGACTGGAAAAGAATCGCGAAGAAATCACTTGAAAATGAACTCAGCTTCCTAGCGATGATAGAAACCAACGAAATTTCTATTTTAAAAGTTCTCATTTCAAGAATTATGCAAAATATGCACTGGAGTTTAATTTTATTATCTCAAAATGCGGTTCAAAAGGAACATGTTACTTTTTAAATTTTTCAGTAAAAATGCACAATGATGATGATGATGATGATGATGATAGTAGAAATAGTGATGATATATAATCATTTAGTTGATTTAAAAAATAATTCTTAACATTGGTAAACTTACAATAAAATATTCTAAAATAGGAAACATGGGTCAGAAGTAACTACTTAAAGAGAAAAACTGGTAATAAACCAGTGATTAAATTAAATATACAGTTTATATGCGTTTAAATGTTTAAAAATACCACTTTCATTTAAAAATGCATTAACATTTAAGATTAAAATTTTTTGCAGATGCGTTTTAGTGAGTCTAGTTTTTCGCTCGTTTATGATAGCACCCCCTTTCTTAAAAAAGTTTTATTATAGAACGTCAGAAAACTAAAATACTTATAGACTAAAAATGCTGAATCGCTGCAACTAAACAATTTTTCGCTGATCTGAACGATTATGGTTCTTGGAAAACTGAACAGTAATTCTTATAAATCAAAAGTGATAAACATAAACACAATCATCAAGGCAACGCGCAACTAAATATATTTTCCGTTGACAAATGATTACTGAAACTGCTGCAACGAGATAGATTGTAGATCAATGGTACCGCATCGGTTCTGTATTGGTGCGAACCACTTTTTCGGTTTTATGTGACAGTTCCAATAACAACCGGTTAAATCGGCTAGCTGTTTGGGACGCTGTTATTTTAGCGGTTCCGTTAAATACCGACCATAACTACTGTACTAGTCATGAAAAAAAACGCACGAAATATTTGGGATAATTCGTCTTGAAGTTGGATGAACTATAGATAGTTGAATCTATACAGGGTGATGAGAGTCAAAACTACATGAAATACATTCAATTTGAACCACTCTGTATTTGTTGGCCCACTCATTTCCAAACACTTTGTAGCTTATTCTTTTAGATATGACCTTCACAAATGTTTGATATTGTGTTACCTGAATTCCAACCGGCTAAGAGAAGCGGAATCCATGGCATTGCACGCGTGTAAAGTATTAAACTATACGCCTCAAGCTTACTGCGTATGTTGCTACTGCTACCTAACAAAAAGAGCTATTTCAAACATTTTCAGTTACATGCATCTTGTCTTCTAAAAGACCCACTGGCCACGATGAAAAATACTCGTCGAATTTTGGAAAAAGTCGTTGAACAGGACAAGCAAGGCCATACGGATGCAGTTTATATGCTAGCAGATTTGCTAATCCGAGAGCAACAGTATGACCAGGCAACTCAGATACTGTTAAAGGCTTTGGACACTCAAAAACCCACATCAAAGTTGCATCAGCTTTTAGGAGAATGTTATGCGAACTTGCAAAAAGACGATGAGGCCTTCAATAATTACACAATAGCGATGAGGCTCGATCCTCAAAACCAAAGAGCAACGGAAGGTCGACAAATTATATTGAAAAATACAACTTGAAATATTTTACATTTTTTTTGTAGGTTTAAACAATATAGAGCGAAGGGAAAGGTTTTATTCAACAACAGAAAACAGTTACAGTTCAAGACGAGCAAACTCTGATCACGAAGCGGATGCTGAAAGCGACAGCGAGCTATGGAATGGATCAGTGGACATGGCCAATTTTGATTCCTAATGTTGCTATTAACTATTTATTAAGCGCCATTTAAGTGTCTAAATATATGATATTTTTTATTTTTAAATAATTATTCTAGACGTCATTCTAAATCGTGTAAGCGGCGGTTCACATGTGGTCATTAATAAGTGCTAAATTCTTCCGGATTCAAAAATATTTTAGAAATGTTATATTTCAAGTAGCGTCAATTGTTAGTCACCCCAGATGGAAATTGTAAACTGATTAAAATTGGTTTAAAAGTGCCATAAATCTTGGAAATATTTGCTTTAATAAACTGAAAAAAAAATTATTTCTTGGGTATCCGGAGAGCATTTCTCAAACCTCACCGGAAAAAAAATGACCGGCTCGGGAATGTCCATGTTAGGGCACTGCCCAGCTTATGGACGACTTAGCGCGCTTATTTAGGTCATGGGCAAAGAGAGCAACCCCGAACATCTGGTAAGGAATGGAAGAGTGGGACTCTCCTGAACTTGACTCACGTTTCAACTTTGTGCGTATATGAATGAATGTTTAATAAATTTTATCTATATCCTTTTCTTTTGAGGTAGATGATATCTGTTGTCATCAAATTATTTTACGAGTAAAGATTTTACATTTGTTCTAAGATTATTTTTTATTTTCAATAAGGGAAGCAAAGAAATTCACGTTGGGAAGTGATTTACACAGTTCATCGCTGGTTGAAACATAATTGTTTGCAAACGAATTAGGAAATACTCAAGTTAATGTCAGGCACTTATAATAATGTTTTTAAATGTTGAAGAGAAATATTTTTCTCTACTTTAAAGTTATATAGTGGGTAAGCTTGAAAATGATTAAAAATTTTTTTTTTATCTTCTACCTATGTAATGTTTAGACTTACCTGGGCCCCAGGTTTCTTCCTTCTAGCAACCGCATGCAAAACAGTTACTGGGTTTAAGTCCGAAGCCCTGCCAATGCGCAAATTCAAAGATCCTGGATGAATTACCACTATACTTTTCGACTGCCATGCTCACGCTAGTTGTTGGACAGACTGCCCCGGGCTGGTGATCTAGCGCCCGAGGGGTGTGCCGGATGACGTTCCAAGCCAGGAAACGTCGACCGGCTAAAACTATTTCCTCTGTGCGCGCTTGGAACCGCCTGTAAGGCATTACTTTAAAGGGGGGTCTATGCTTACGTATACTTTGTATTATTTATCGCTGACTATTTATTATGTTTATTGCGGTTTCGTTTTCCCTTCTATTTTCATGAATTCTCTTAACATATTTGTTATTGTATTCCAGTTGTTATTGTTCTTTATTAGGAGTTCACTAATGTTTAATTTGCTGTGGCAGATATTTCTTGCGATTACTCTGAGATGTTCATATTTGGCGCATTCGAAGGCTGTGTGTTCTGGTGTGTCAGGTTTATTGCATAACCATCATGTATCATTTTCTTGTTTTTTTTATTCTTTTTAGATAGGAGAAGAAAATGCCGTGTCCTGTTAGTACCTGGGTTATGTAGTAGTCTGTTTCACCAAATTTCATGTCGATCCATACGATTATGTTTTGGATAAAGATTTTGCCCCAGCCTTTATCTGTTTTCCATCTCTCTTGCCAGTGTTCTAAGGTTGTTTTTCTTGTCTCTTTTTTCAATTTTTACCCAGCAAACACAAATGATCCGTGGGACGTTCTATTTTGATCCCCGTTATTCCAGTTATGTGATTCATCCTGAACCACATTAAACATTTGTATTTACCAATAGTTAAGAACCCATTTACATATCAGGATGTATCTTTAACAAACATAATTAAGCTGTCATTAGTATGCATTTAACTAGAGGTCAGAACCAAAAAGCAGATATTCTGTTATTGTACGTAGTATAGACAAGATCCTTGTAGTTTTAAGTATTAAATGATATTTCTATTTGTAAATTAAAAGTTTTTAAAAAGCTATTTAAGGAATATATTATTTACTTTCCCGCATGGGATGATCCTTGGTAGAATGTCCCTAGGACGTCCTCTGTATCGCACATATAACTCATGCAGATCCCATGCTAGTCGCCCCAGAAACGTTATATTTTTGCTCCCAGGGACATCGTGAACAGGACGTATATGTAGTAATAGTAAATGGCGCGTTTGAAAACAATTCTACACTTTATTACACACTT